AGAAAGGATGAGCCACCAACCTGACACTCTGATCTTAAGGAATACCAGCTTGGGCTCACATGGCTCTCCCTTGCCACCCTATATTGCGACAGGTCCCAAGGCACCCAGAAATGGCATTGATGGCCCAGGGGACATGGCTCAGAGCTGCCCTTATGGTGCTGTGCATGTCACCACCTTGCAGCAATCAAGTGAAGCTATTAAATATCCAGTACTTCCCACGAAGCTGACATTTCTAATCCCTACCACTGCCTTCCCTTTTTCACACACTGGGGGCTGGGGCCTTTCCCCACTGTGAGGGGGCTTCCCCCCCCCCCCCCCATTTCTCCAGCATTATTGCTCCCTCCCACTCACAGCCGAGAATTAAAAGACATAATAAAGAGCCCTTGAACTGGAGGGGGAGCGTCTGGTGGGGGGAAAGGAAAAAAAAAAAAAAGTAGGTCCCTTGTTTGAGCCCAGGATTCATCTGCTTCTCCCCGCGGAGATGAAGAGGCCCTTTCACCCCAGCAACCAGAAGGTTGAAGTTGGATATGTGCTTACCAGCACGGCCGTGGCTGGGAGCTGCCAGCCTGGGGTCTGACGGCGGTGACATTTCTACCTCAGATTAGACGGTACGGTGCAAAAACGCATTAGAGTTGCTGGGGAGACTGCCCCTTCATAAGGCTGCACGCTTGGGAGCGAGCCGCTGTAGCTATGAAACCGGGCCACGGCGTGGCTTCAGCCCCTTTCTGCAGATTAAGGTTAATAAGAGCCTCCCCAGCCCGCCGTGCCCACCGCGCTCTCCCAGCGGAGAGCAGACCGGACGGAGGTGGGAGCCCAGCGCCTCCAATATCCCCACCGGCGAGCGCGCTGCGCCCCCGCTTTTGTTCTTCGCTTTTGCCCAGTGATTTTCATTACAAATATCCTCTTATCATGCGCGCATGGGGGGAGAGAAGCGGGGGACCGGGCCCACACAAAGAGAAAGAAAAGGCTGCTTGCTGGAAACCCAGTAATTACAGGGCTCGGGCTTTCCTTGCGGAGGATTCATACGGATTCGACATGGCAGTGTTTCACACATACGGCCCCTCCAGGGGTGAGCTCCTGTTTCGATTTCATTATCGGCAAGCTGGGCTGCCAGGGGAACTTTTGCCCCGAAACGAGTTCCCAAAAGGGGACAGTTGCACTTCTTTTATTATTTGCTTTGAAAGCAATTTCGCTGCTGCCCCCAGAAGCCTCTGCGTTCGCTCAGGGGTGCAATGGGAGAGCACAAATGCCATGAGTTGGCTTGTCAGGCCAGCACCACTGCAGTCGGTAAGTATGGGAAATCTTCTTAGATGTGGTCACCACCTATTTTAGCAAAGTCTGGAGGCGTTGAATCAACGCTTCAAACATCTTCTAACCCCACGCATGACTCAGGAAGGCTGTGCTCTCAAGGTGTTATAAAGATAAGCAAATTCTCTGTTTGTCCTTTTACAAGTGGGGGTAAAACATAACCCAGATAGAAACGGATGCAAGTGAAGCCTCGCAGGACCAAAACTTGACCTTTTGTACTCACTTTGCTGTAGGTATTGCATGATTTTCTTCAGTTCAGGTTGAATGGGTTAGCACAGCACCCAGTGCTTCGCAGGGTTGGGACGCCTGCACAGCTCTGGCTCAGGTTATCAACCCTATTATCTCAGGTTATCAACCCTATTTTACAGCTGGGTGAAAGAATGGCTCAAAATGACCATGCAAAGTTCATGCTGGAGGTCCAAAAGAAGAGGAAACCCAACTGCCTCCTCTCTGCTCAAAGAGCATGTTAGCAACAAACACCTTTGCTGTTCCCTAATGCATCCTTGTATATCGTACACAAACCTGAAACGGGGCCTGTTTGGGGAAATTTTGCACCGTTTCTCTGGGGAACAGATCTTGGGGCCAGTTTTTCACCTTCCTTGGTGCTTTGCCAAGACCTCTGGGATGTTTGTAGGATGCCTCGCAGTGGCAGGAGTGACGAGGAGAGCCAGAAAACTCTGTAGGAAAGATGTTTCTGCTATTAGCACATGCACTATTAGGCAAGCTAACCCGATCCTTTGCATTTTTACGATGTGTACGAGACAAGGACCAGCACGTCGACCCTCTCTGCAACCTCAGAGGCGAACAATCATTTGATGACAAATAGTAAGAAATCCTCTGTCGCGGACAGAGCCCTGCAGGACTAGAAGTCACTCCTATCCCTGAAATCTCGCCAACTCAGCATCTACCCGTGTACTTCTAGGTGCCTGCATCCATTACTCCCGGGCCAAATGCAAAGTGGGGAGTTGGACTGTAGCTTAGGTTTCAGGTAACCCCAATCTGCTACTAAAAAGGAGCCCCAGGTTTATGTGCACCTCGTAAAGGACCGTTCGCAAAACTCAGACCCAAGCCTTGCCTTTGGTTTCCAAATGCGCTGAATTTTGCTTTGGTTGTCTCTCAAATTCCCGTCGTCTTTTCTTTCTCTCCTTATTTACTCATTAATTTCTATAGGTCTTAATTTCCTGCCCCCCGAGCCCTGCTGAGACCAGCCTCTGCCTACATGGGATTGCAGGCTACAGCCCTGCTCTCTTCAGGGAAAGGTCAGGGACGGAGGTTTAGTGTGCCGAGAAGAAAGGCAGCAGCAGACAGACAGAGAGCACTCATAAAGATCTGGCTGTGAGCCTCTCTGAGAAAATGTCAGGTTGGGGAGGCTGTAATAGCTTTAATCTGCAGTACAAGGGGATTAAAAGACTCGTTCTCACAGGACAAAAAAGAAAGGAGCGGAGCGGAAGGAGCGGAACAAGGGGAGAATGAAGGCTGCGAGGGGAGGAAGGGAGAAAGTTAAAGAGCTCAACTATAAAGAGCATCGGGATTTAAAGAGCTCCGTCTTCTAGCGTAATAAATGTGAAGTGGCCTGCACGGAAAAGGGGCTTTAGCCAATGGCTTTGCTTTTGCTTTTTCACACTAAGCACACGCACTTCAGCCGTCTTCAATCAAGGCAACTTGTTATGTTTGGCTTTGTTGATTTTCAGGGGCAAAGGAGTAGGAGGGGGAAACAGAAGGTTAATGAGGCCCTGCCAGATGCGACACTCGAGAGAAGCAGTGGGCATTATATTTTTTAAACAGTGGTTTACGGTCTTTGATCCTCACCCCTGCTGTCCCTCCTCCAGCAGGTCCCTCAAGCCGGGGGGGGGTGTGTGTCCTCGAGGGCCGTGGAAGAGCGAAGGGGCCTGGGAACAGGAAGGAAGTACACCGAATCGCGGGATGCCCTCCTCAAGTACTGCTTGAGCAACCTTTTCAGCCGCCCAGCAAGGCCAGATGAAGAGAGCGTAATGAAAGGGTAAGGAAAGAAGGAGACTTTAAAATACTTTTCAAAGCAGGGAGAAAAAACAACCCAATGCATCAATTGCGGGAGACATAAGGGCCAGCGAGCCACCAACGCGGATGAGCAAGCTGTGCTCCAAAAGGGAAACCAGGCGCTCAAAGCCAGCTTTTAGCACTGCTCATGTACTGCAGGAAACAGGGTTTCTTAGGGCTGGATCCTTACATCAAGGCAGGTCTGCTTCCCTGGATTAGCAGGGAGGTTAGGACCTATTTACATGAGGACAATGCCAACATTCTCCACAAAGACAAGACAGCTCTTCCTCCCCCCGGAAGTAAGGACACACTTAAGTCTTGAAAAACCTCTGAAGAAATGGCAACATGGGACAGTCAGTCCCAAGTTTGCTCCCATAAACAGCCTGAGGCACTCTGAGAAGAGAGAAATGGGTTTCTAGCTGCGTTAAACAGGATTGCAACATTTATGTTACCCACCTTCCCAGCTCAACAGGCTCACAAGTCAGGAGAGATGCTCCAGGACACCACCAGGCACAGTCAAATCCCTAAGGCAGGTTCTTTCGACTATTTGAGCAGCTCAGCAAAGTGCTGGGGGCTCTGTGCTCTGCGCACGAGTCGTACTCAGAGGGGAAAAAAAAAAAAAAAGATTCTGTAATGTAATAAGCAAGTTCCAGACAGGAATTAGAGCATAGCATATCCAGTGGAGACAGGGGGCTGGAGTGGCATTAAGGTAGGAAGAATATAATTACCTGAACTGGACTGTGGCCAGGATAATGGTATTAATTTATTTCAAGGAAGCCAAGTGCCAAAAGCTGGATTTTACATTTAAATCCAGAAGATGGCAAATCAGAGCATCCCAATTCTATTCTTCCAGCATTCGGCTGGAAGGAAAGGTTCTCCTGATAGGTTTTCACCCCTAACGCCTGTGGCCACGATGGGGGAAGCTCATCCTCATCATCTTCATTTGGGAAGCCCGACGCTATCCTGTAGCTACCGATGCTCTGCCCCAAGGCACACGTCACCGAGGCAGTGCCGGCACCTCGCAGCACAGAGAAAACATCATCCCACTCCCCAAAACTCGCCCGCAGGCAATAAAGCCACACTCGGCCACAAATATAGGCACGAGCAAGCCCCTAGTTCGATCTGGTATTAATTATCCACTGTTCTGCAGAGATAAATGCTTAATCCTCTGGCTGTTGATGCTGGAAATGGACCAATCTACCCTGGGGTGGATATCATACAGGGGAACTTGGCTTCAGCTGCTGTCCCCGCATCACGTGCTGTGCAAATGTTCACTGGCTTCTAGGTAATGGATTTCATAGGGTGCATGGGATCTTTCCGTGGCAGAGCTAATCCAGAATAATACATGACTCAAGCATTCATTGTATCAGGTTTTTCTTCCTCCCTCTATAGTTTTTTTTTTTTCCTTCAATGTAATAATTTCATGTGGAATTTCTCTTTTTCAGACATTCTCTATTTCCTTATAGCTTACCAGCTTTCCTCCTCCAGGACCGATATCAAGGTGAACTTCCTACGCAGCAGTGCCCGAGGGATGTGGAGATGGGTCTGCACAACCCCTGCTTCTCTGGGCATCTTTCACTTTCTTCCAGGAGAAAAGCCAAAAATCTCCACATTGCTTCCATGATTTCACGCTCCCTGGAAAGCCTATATCAAGAAGTCCGCTTGTCAGGGAGAAAGAAGCCATGCTGATGCCACCAGAGATGGGAAAACTGTTCCCATTTCTGACCAAGCTCCTAAGGACTTTGGTCTTTCCCATGTCTGAGCAGTCCCGCTAATGCCACCGTGTGCCAGGAGGGCAAACCGTTCTCCCAGACCCACTGCCACCAGCACTCCCCCAGCCAGGCATTTCGTGACACTCGGGGAGATGCCTGCTTCCCAATTCCCACTCCCACATGGGCTTTCTTGCCTCTTCCCTGCTTGCTCTTCCCTTCCCAAGGGCCGTCTTACAGGCAGTTTCTTGGCAAAGGTGAATTTTAAACCCAAACGCAGAAACAGGTTTGAAACAGAGTATTATTGTACACAGAGTCAGAACGTCACACGTGCTCGGGAGCAGCCGTTTGCTCCCCGTTTAACAACAAAATAGGTTTTCAAGACAGTGCTCTTCTACACAGACTTGAGCAGCTGCGCCCACAGACTGCCAGTACAGGGGTTTGACCACAGGGAACACGAGAGGGAGCCCATACACGGTGGCGGCACTCGTTTTTCCTGAAAACAACCTAAAAAGCAGCTCTGGCTCAACACAAACCCAACTATTTAGGTTACGGTGCTGCTTCAAAGCTCTGTACCACTGAGTTCCAAGCCCCTGCTTCCAGTGAGCTCGCAGTCTAACGAGGAGTGCTGGGGGAAACTGAGGCAGGGGAAATGAAATGCTTTCCTCAGTGCCACGCAGGCTGGAAGCAGATCGTGTACGTCCAGTAGGACCCAGAGAGCTGAGCACCCACCTGAACCGCGTGCAGCTCTGTACCCGATACGATGACAGAAGCCTGCACCTTTTTCTCAAGATCCAATCTGGCTGCTCTCAGCACTTCCCTTTAGCAAGAGGTGGCTGAAGCCTTCTATACGAAGTCCTGCAGAAAAAGGGAGCTTTCTGGGAATATTACACACACAGAGCGAGTTAAAGTTGGGGGGTTTTGTTGGCCTTGCTTGTTTTACTAAAGCCGTATGTCTAGTCTTAGTCCAATGGAAATAAACTTTCAGCCCACCTGAATGCAGAAGTTTGCCTTTGCCACCATCGTGCTCGATTTAATCCAAAAATTACAGCGAGGCAAAGAACTGGCATTAGAAAAAAGCTGAACTTTTGATTGGATTTTGTATTCCTTGACAACAAGATACAGAGAAGGGCTACTTGTTCCTAGGCTGTTCCTGGGCAGCTTCACCTCAGCTGTGAGAATGGGCTAAGATCTATGAAGGAGAGAACGGGATTTTGAAGCCTAGCCAGTAAGAGCATGAGAAAGGGCTCGGGCAACCCTGGTTTCTGTTTTCCTCACTTTAAGAAAAGAAAGCGGGTTCTGGAGATTAAAAGAAAAGATCTTGCAAATCCAGACTCCTGGGGTCTGTTCCCGACCCTGCCGCTGACTTAAGAGCGCACACAAGTAAACCTACTTCATCTCTTTGCCCCAGCTCCTCCCATTTAAACAGAGAGGAGATGTTGCTACTTTGCCATGTGAGCAAGTCTGCAAAGTGCAGGCTTCGAGGGCCCCGCACGAGAGGTGCAGGGGATGCTCAGACCAGGCAGCTGTCTGGTACAACCGCAAATCGTTGTCACACCACCCCAGTGAAGCACTGGCTCTCAAGCCATGCTCCTGGGAGCCTGCCAGCAGAAACGGCAAGTTATTTCCATCAGGTGAAACAAATATTGAGTCATTCACAAAACATCAAAGGTCAGGGTTAAAGGCAGGTATGCTAGGAGAAGCGTAACCTCGTTCTTCCAACACCGCATCCAGTGCCTGTAATGACTGTGCTAGACCTTTGCCCTCACGTGGAGCTGGGAGTGCGCAGTTTGCAGTCCATCTCTGAACGATCCTTTCCAGCAAACAGTCTCTTATTGACATCCTTTCCAGCAAACAGCCTTTTACCGATATCCCTAATCAATGACAGATTACAGTCTTGGAGCTCCAAAGCCGTAACATCAATGAGGAAGCCACAGCAAGCAAGCACACCAAGAGCATCTGGGAAGCCACCCAGCACAACAGGGCTATGACACATCATCCTGGGCTGATGGCTCCTCCTCCTACTGCCTTCTCCCACTCCTCAAGAGAGCTGATGTAATAAATGGAAGTAGTAGGAAAAAGAAGGGAAATAGGAGCCTGGCAGTGAAGGAGAGGCCAAAGCGGCTGCTCTGAGCAAGTATTGTGCTTGAGGATACATGGGAGTCCTGCTTCCCAACCTGCTGCTTGGCCATTTGGGATTATCCCACACGGAGCATTCTCCAACGCTTTGCCTAACTGACTCTTAAGCTACGTAGTGTACATGCTGCCTTCTTTTCCAAGCAGGTGGCAAGTCTACCATCTCAAAAGTGTCACTGCCGAGAAATGGCTCTGATAAGCGATGCAAAACTACTTTGCAGTGCCCTTGGAGCTCCCTAAAAATACACTTGCTGGCAGCAAACTAATCCGTCCTTGTATTTTCATGCAACATACACACACTCACACAACAGAAACACAAAGAAGCAAACACCACCATGTGTCCATTATTAAGCAGCTGCCTCTGGAAAGAGCAAAATATGCTTCCAGTAGTACGCATGCTGGAGTTACAGGACCTTCTCTCCAAACATGCCACAGCATATCCAACTCCAAGAAACAGCAGGTGATAGGAAATGCACTGTTTGGTACTGTAATGTGGAAACTAGCTGGGATCCTGCACACTTCCCTCTTGCGAGGTCTCCTCTCCTAAGCGCTTTAATCTGTAGAGAACGCCAGGAACAGTATTGCCTTGATCAGCCAAGTCCAGCGTCCGTCAGTTCATATTTCTCCCAGGAAATACACCCAAACAGGTCACCAAACCGGTCTGTTGGCGCATATTCTCCGTGTCCATATTCTCCATGTCCATCTGCCCTGTCACAAACCTGACAGCTGGGCAACATAAGCTTGCAAAACCACTCAAATGTTGGATGACCCGGAAAAGCAGCTGCCAAATCAACATGCCGTTCTGTGCCGGGTGGCACTGGACGTCGTGACCTGACAAGCCTTCTAGAGCCCTCTGCACACAGCTGTTGCAATAGCAGGCATAGTAAACCAAAGCACGGTGACATAGCACTCAACAACAGAGCTCAGGTGGTGCTCTCAAGCTCATCGCTGTGGTCTAACCTGCTGGCTGGCTGTCCGTGGCATGCATCCGGTATTCCTCCTGGGCTCAGGGGTGCTCACTCCTCTTCCAGAGCTTACTGTCAAAAGCACTTTTGTGTAGGAGCCAATTTACTTGTTGTATGTCACACGTCAGTCGGCTCCTTTTCTCCTGTGCCTTCCAGGTGGGGTGTAAAACGTGACTCAGCAGGCAAAACACAAAGTAATCCTAAAGTCCAGCTAGGCTACCATTCTTCTTTAGCCTGGTGACAGTTCTCTTTTCCAGGACCACAGTCTACCCTACTTGCATCCCACTGTTCAGGCAGCAAAAGATGCCCCAACAAGACCATGTCAGAGCAGCGGGAGCGGGGGGCGGCTTATCTCTGTCCCTAAGGCATGACAGCAGCTTTGATTTCTGCACTGCTTTTGACCTCCCAGTTATTTGGGCAGTGGGGATGGGTCCCTGAAGCCAGCGTCACTACATCTCCACGCTCCATTCTCTCTCCATCTTCCTTCTGGTAAAATGGATGGTGCAGCGTAGGCACAGGGCAGGCTGCTTAGAGAGCAGGGACAACATGTGGTCCTCCCTTCACCTGTCCTGGAGAAACATCTAATCAGTAAGATACCATCACATCAAGTCTCTGCATGCCAGTGTCAGGTGGAGCCTGAGGCCACAAAAGCAAAATCTTGTGTGCTGGTTGCCTTTAGATGTTAGAGATGTTCAGAAATGTGGGGCAAGACAACAGGGCTTGTGGGCAGCCTGCATATCCTTCTCAGACTGTCCAGCTCAGCAGAAGTCAGGCATCTTCATTCCAGGCTCTCCATCAGGTCAGCAATGGAACAGATGCTACATGGCAGAAAAGCATCTTCAGCCCCCGGCACTGGGTTTAATCCATCACCCAGCTGAAACAGAGAAGCCTGGAAGCAGCCTCATTTAGCACTGACTGGAAAAATTCTTTACAAGAAGCTCCCAGACATGTTCAGTAAACACTGAAAATCAAATCATCCCGTGCCTGTGGCTGCTGCTCTCCTTCACTGCTGGCTACACCAGCCCTGGTTAATGTGCTGAAATGCCTGCTTTGTCCAGGCCACTAGAGCCGGGTGGCGCGACAGCTGTGGTCTCGAGTTCATTGCTGGAGCCCTTCAGAACCAAGAACTCCAGCAGAATGTCCAAGAGGCAGAAAACCAGGTGCCTAAACCAGAGAGAAAACAAAGTTTAGGCTGGTCAGGGCACAGTGAAGCTGGGAGATCAGCTCCAGACACACAGAAGCCAAACCTCATGCAAGGAAGAAGTATTCTGAATGCCATCAGGGGAAAGACAAAAGATCTCGTACCCTCTAAGAAATGTTTTGAGGGATGCTTCATGTTCTTTCCCACCCCCCAAACCAGCGGGTGTTTGAAGCTGCTGAGCAGCGCATAACACACAAATGCATCTCCTGGAGTGAGGTGGCAATGCATGTGTCTGCAGTTAATCACAAAACCACTGCTTTCCAAATGCACAGCAATGGGTATACAGGAAAAGACTACACATATACGCAGCTCCCTAAGCTCTTTTAAAAACAACAAACTAAACCAGGATTTGGTCGTATTTTCTCTGACAGTCCCCTGATATCCAAAAACTAAGCAGGCCCAACAACATAATTAACAAGCCTGGCTCAGTAATCTCCAGCCAGAACAAGGTCCTAGACATGCATCTTCATAATAAGCAAGCCAGATGCCCTTTGACAGTGTAAGTCCAGGAAAATTAGCCAGGTATGTTCTGTGTCAAGAGGCTGGCAGTGTGAATCTCACGGCGAAGCCCTGTGCGTGGCTTACAGGCCCCATCACAAATGCTATCAGGGTAAAGAGACTACAATCCACGTACCTGTTTATCACAGGCTGGCCCAGGGACTCCAATACCAGGTTCCAGCTCATCCGACATTTACTGGTTCCAAGGATTTCTTGGATCACATCTGTCAGCGTCAGAGACAAAGCTTTAGGAATGGCACATATCCATGGTAGTAAAACAGGGTCAGTCTTCTGCTGGTGGGTACTAAATCAAAGTTTGTGATGGTGCTCTGAGCCTGAGGCATCTCATGCCCAACATTACCACGAAAGAAAACAGCCAGGGACAGGACCGACTGCCAGGAAAGCGTTCCAGCCTGGAAGGGCATACACGGATAGAGCTTTTTTATCCCCCAAAGATACTAAGGGCCCCTTAGTCCGCATCAAGGAGTTAAAAGTTCAGACTGCACTCACATGGATTAGGCAGCAGATGCTTTAATGTCAAAGGCCCCCATGTCAAACTTCAAGAGAGGGAAATCCAGTGCAGCTGGGCTCATGATTTCAGTCCAGTGGAAAAGCCACTCATCGGAGCAAGAAGCCAAAGGCTTTGCCATAGGACTCTTTTCAGCAATGGTCCCCTTTGGCAGCAGATTGGAGCACAGCGTGGCACTGGATTTTCTAAGTCCTACCTTGTTTGAGGTGGCTCAGTGGGAACGGCACCACCAGCACACAGAGTATGTGGCCAGTCTGCGTCGGGGAATCACCCAGACACACGTTCTTTCTCTCTGAGCTGTGCTGCTTCCTGAATGCTTATGCAAACTATCTAGAACTGGGAAACTGTGGTTTTTGCTTGCAGGAAACCATTCAAACCTCAAAGGTCATGAACATTTCCCAGTGCCTTGGCATGAGCAGGCTCCATCTCTCTGTTTAACCATATTTCCAGAGATGCCAATGCACTGGAGGGTTTCCCAGCCTCCCCCACTGGTCCTTTCTCAAGGGCAGCTGACACATCTATGGGGCACACTTACTAGGCAAGATCCCCATCAGGCTCTGCAGGGCCTGCTCTGCTGCTGCTTTCTTCTGTTCCTCTGTTCTGGCTGGTTTAGGCACTGCTGGTAAAACTCCTCCGGGCCAGATGGATTCCTGCAGCAACTGGAGGTACTGGACCCAACGCTGGGTGCAGGTCAGGTTAACCACCTGGACTTCAAGCCACCTGTGGACACAGGGAGAGAAAGAGAGAGGGAAAAGTCAAGCTTGGTACCAATTTGGGAGCTTTCTGCCGAACAGAGGCCCTGGAGGGGAAGATCAGCTTGCTGGGTAAGTCAACATAAAGTTTCCAAGTCTACACCTTTAATGTTTTCACAAGTATTAATTAGCTGAGTTTCCCCATGCACCAGGAATAGGTGTATGTTCCCTATCCTACAGACAGAAACACCTATGTAAAGGCAGTGGGGAAAAGCAAAAGCCATGAAAAGCTCCATCGCCCTGCTGCCCGCAGGAAACCAAATGAGTAACTGGTCCCTAAAGGGAGCACTGGCCTTAACCTCCTAAGTTATGTCCACGCACAAGCTGAGACAGAGCTGGTAAACCCACCAAAACTGGTGCTTTAACTCTAAACTTCCCTGACTAGAAGGACATGAGCATGTTCTGGCAACCAGTGCTCCCTCTCATCAGTCCCTCTGCTACCAAAAGAATCAGGGATGTCTCGCTGGGAGACCAAAACGCACACTCCCAGGATGGCAAGGCACGAACACCCTGCTGCTTTGCGCCCCCCTCGCCGCCCTGCTTCTCTGCTGGCCAGCCCTTCTCCGTCCACTGGTGGCAAGCAATGAAATCGTCGCCGCTTCCATCCAAAACCCTGCACTGCACATCTATTAAAAGGAAAGTTAGGTACCTGCCAACAAAACTGCTGGTCAGCCCTCCTGCTGGGCCAAGACTGTGCCCTTTATACGGTAACAACCTGCAAATCCCGAGGCCATGGGAATGCCGCTCCACATAAGGGCTCGGAGGCGTTTGCAGCCTGCACGGGGCAGACGTGTCCATACCACCCAAGTGCTGGCCAGGGAAAGTTTCTAAATCAATCATGCGGACCCTCTTTCCCAGACGTGAAATCACTTCCCTGTGTAATAGCAAAAGCCACAGCTGTCAGTCAAAACTTGCCACTGCCTAAAATCTTCCTCCCTGGAATGAGGAGGGGCCAGCGGACGAAGCCCTGATACCACAGAGGCCAACAGGAGGGTCCCCAACAATTTAGGAGGACCGGGACTCATTGGCACAGCACCAAGGGTGGCCTGCTGCCACCATCCTCATCAGCGAGAGGGTCCAGGGGAGCATCGGCACGACGTTGGGGTAGGGCGAAGGCTTGTGATTTTGCCAGTGCTTCAAGAGTCCCAGAGGAGAGGAGTCCACAAACAGGGCCAGGAGACCCGTTCCTCTTGGCAGCTGGTGTTCGTGCTTGCAATTCTGTCACCACTACGCCCCGGCAGCTCATAGTACATCCAAGAGCATGGGCCTTGCCAAGGCAAACTTTATTTAACCTGCGCTCTGCCAGACTGTCTGCATTCTTCTCAGGCGAGGCATTCGGGCCAAGGGCGTCTTTCCCCACACAACGGGGACAACGCGAGCAGAGAGTCGGGAATAGCGACACCTAAAAGGTAACCAGGGGCAAAGAAAAGGCAGGTAGCCATCATCGGGACCAGGGCTGCAACATGATGCTCCCTTCTTCAGCACAAAACCAGGTCTTTACGGATGCACACCTAGGAAATGCCAGCTGCAAAAGCAAAGACCATCAAAAAAACCTGAAAACGAGCCTTGGTGCAGCAGTAAGGCCTGTTATTTCTCTTACTGGAGCGCAGGCAATGCTCCTGGTGATCCCAGGAACAGCACTGGAAATGGGGAGACACGGCCTTTAGGCTCAGCCTCACCAGGGACCCTGAGTACTGATGTTGCTACAAGATAGAAGCTGCGCTTTGGATCTCTGGCACTACTTGTCTTAGAGGACAAAATGTCACAGCAGAGTCTTGCCTGGGAAAAGGCCTTGTTTGAAATACAATTGCTTAAAAGGGTTTTTATCTCCAGCCATCAGTAGAGTTTAACACTCTCGATCATGTTAAGCCCTCCAGCCATCCCCAACCAAATTAAAGTGCTAAACTGTGGCTCCTCTAGGGGCAAGAGCTTTCATTAACATGGTTTTTCATTAACGTGTTTTCTTATACAACCTGCTTTCCTAATTGAGCAAACATTTGACGAGCAACAGAAGTTCAGAGACTTGGGGACAGAGCTGCAAACAGTACAACCCAGCATCTAGGGAGATCAGATTGAACGTCGACTTGAAATTAATCTCAGCAATAGTCACTTACCATCCTTTAAAAGGGTGCAGAAAGCAAAGAACAAGCTTTCTTTTTCTTAGGAATGTTCCTAAAATAGCCAAAAAATCAAGCAAACAGCAGGCAGAGTGAAAGCTGAACTTAGAGAAGACAGCACATGTTTCCAGACAGCTCAAAAGCAGACTGAGAACTGACGAATGCTGGAAGGCCCCGCACAAACAACCTACCATTTCTAGCTCATTTATTTCCATAAAGCCACCAGAACTAGGCAACGAGGCCTAGAAGTAACACCTATAAATCTGATCACATGTGCACGCGTTGCCATTATGCAAGTACTTACAGGTCTTAGCTCCCACAGTTGCAAAACACCGCTGATGGATTTTATTTATTTATTAGTTACTCTGGCAGCTCACTGCCTTCCACTTTGGGAAGCAAAGGGCAGGGTCTGAGAAAGGCTCCGTGGGTTTTGCCCCACCTGCACTGACGCCTGCTCCATGCAAGCTCCTGAGAAGAGGCCAATTTGTCCCATTGCACAGTGCTCAGACAGCAGGACTGTTAGGAAAGGGAGCAAAGGCACCCAAAACCACAGTGCGTATTAAAAAAAAAGAAGAAACTAGGCAGGAAAGGGGACAAGAAAGAAGAAAGAGAAACCAAACCTGGGTGCAAATGGAAGGAAGATGGAAGTCACTGTGCTCTGGGTTCCCTTTCACCAGTCTATCAGTGTGTGGACCCACCCCAAAAGCACTGTGGAGAGAAGAACTCTCAGACTGGTCCAGCTGGCTCAGCATCCTCCCTGGGAGAGTGGCCGATGCTCTCAGATGCTCCAAAAGAAAATAACAAAACAGAGTAACCTGCCATGAAGACTTTTCCTCCTTACTCTCAACCTGCGCCTGTTAAAGTCACCACCAACACCCACTTTGGGGGATGCACACTGCATTTGCACAACACACACAGGGGCATGCATGAGCGACGCTTATTAAATGGTGAGGAGCAAAGTAACTCCTCAGCTCTCACAAATGTAGTTGCAACTCAGGGAGGGTCACACCAAGCTTTACTGAACGATCCTACCTGAGTAAAACCCAGATTTCTATGGCAAATTGACCTTTTCATCAGGCAGACTTGCTGCACCAGGGTCAGGATTAACAGCTCACACTTCTCACCCAGGAACTCCAAATATGTGCGGGTCCAAAGCTGACCTTCACCAGCAGATCACAGATGATTCTTCCTACTATTAAAGGACTAAGCATTTGAGATCCATGTGCCACATCAAAAGCACAAGCACGCCTTCTTCCAGGTAGAAATAAATCCAGCAAGAAACACAAATAGACTGATTTTTTTTTTTTTCTGATGGCTGATGTGTTACTATTTCCATTCTGCTATTTCATGAAGAAATAGCCTTAATAAGAAAGAAAGAAAAACAAACCCATCACTGAACCATCTCCTTACACTTCAGCTGAGACCAGAAATAGATAGAAAGTGACCTCCTGGACTCAGACGTTCAAATGCTTTGATAATGCCCAATGCAAAGAGACAGACTGCAAAGGCTACGAAGTCCTGGAGGTTAGTCTGGAGGTGCATAACTTGCCCATGCTGTAAGGGTCCTCTGTTTGAAATAGCTGCTGATGGAGGAATGAAATGGCTGCTAAAAAAGAGCTGACTTAATGCCATGGCTTAAGCTGGAACTCCAAGGTCAGCTGAAGGTAGGAGATAGGAATGGCAAAAATGCCCTGGGAATGAGAAACAAGGCCTGGGGGGGGTACATACCTTGGCCCTCCTCTGGCACCTAGAAGCAACAAGAGCTGCTAAGACGGAGCAGCCTATGGTAAAGGCAGGCTGAGAGTCAGGAACGGGCAAGACGCAGCCTATAGGCCTGGGTTTACCCGGCTCCTTCGAGCTGGATGCACTCGCTTAAGTGGACTACCCAGAAGGTTCACCTGCAGATAGAGAGAGCTCAGCAAGTAAAGGTCAAGTGAGTTGGATTTGCTTAGTCTGGAAAATAAAGATGGACCAGGAAGAGACAAAAGGATATGGTACTATCTAATTTACAAACAGCTGCTAGAAGCTGTCCAGGTTAGAAGAACTGCTAAGTTCACTTGAGCTGAGGAATGGCTGAGTTAAATGCGCTGATTATAATTAAAATCTGAAGCAACAGCAACTGCGATTCTCCCAAAACTTGACATTTTAAGGGTTTAGACAAACACAAACTGGAGGCTATGCTAGGAAGAAGACAAAGACGAGAGAAAGCCTCTACTAGCCTGTTTTAGCTTTAGAAATACAAATAGCTATAAATATATGAGCTGTACATAACAGTAGCAAGTCCAGCTCAACATCTACTACTTCCCACCCCAGGACAAGGCCTCTGTTTCCCTGAGGTCAGCTAACACGGCATGGCTAACCAGAAGCTCAAAAAAGCCCCATGAGACCAAGGTAGTGAAAAGGTTTTTAGAAAAAAAAAGCAACATCTGGAAACGCACAAGGCATTCAAGCATCTGACTTGTGAAACGAAGAAAGGCTGGTACTTAAATCACCAGACCATCCCTCACTTTGCAGTACTTGTCCCCCCGAATTCCTCCCCAAATTGTGCCTCAAACCACAAGAATATCCTTAACTTAAGGGCTCAGAAAGAGCAACATTTCAATGCTTTGACTGTAAAACATTTCTGAGCAAAGGTTGTAAAACCAAAGAAACAGCTGCAGCGGGCACAGTCAGAAGAATGGAAAAACACAAATGGAGAGCTTTCGCCCCCAGGCTCGGCTTTTAGCACCTGCTACTTGAGCCCACGTCCACCTTCCCCACACAGCCGCCAGCAGAAACACGTGCAGCCCACTGCTAGCACACTCAGCTCAAACACCTTCAAAGCAAAGCCACACTTGTCCAGGCCATCAGT